CATGCGGGGGAAATGCCTTCTCCTGAGACCTTGGAGAAAACGAAATCCAGGCCCTCAGCCTCATACAGGCCAAGCCCCGAGAACCCTAGTGGCCGCCACATCTTCCGGCAGTGAAGGTGCTGAGAAATGGGGGGAAAACAAAGCCAGCTTTGGATTTGGATAGATCAGAAGTAGAATCTCAGTTTTGCCAAAAGTTAGTTTAAGAAACGTAACCTCTCCAAGGCTCCCAACGGTACCTCATGGGGTGGGGAGGGGTAAGTGAAACGATGTAGGAATGCTCTGAAGACAGTCCCTGGCTTGTCTTCCCGGTTGGCTGGACACCAGGTCTTTCTTTGTGAATTCTGGAAAGGCCATGTCTTTCTGTCTGACCAGAAAAAGGGAGACTTGGTCTCCACCCTTCTACTTCCCCAAGGCAAATCTCAATTCCAGGTTCCAGGCACACCAGGTCACAATGGCGGTGTGTGCTAGAGTCTCTACCAGACCCTTTGTCCTTCCTCTGCAAATCCTGCCATACTTCCTCCTCTGGTCTGAGGAGGAAGGCTAATTCTCTGCACCCCCTCCTCACCCCCTGGCCAATGTGGTCTAGGATCACCCCTCCACCCTGCCCTTTAAAGTCTGAGGGGAAGGACAGGGTAGGAGCAAGATCTGCTGGGCCACGGGGCTCACAGAGGGCCGCCCTGCTCAGGACTTCAGAGGAGTGTGGAGGAGGAAGTTCAGAGTATTTTAACAAATAGTTCCTGAGCTCAATGTGCATTTTATTTTTTCTTTTCTTTATGGATTTCAGAGGAAGGGGGAGGGACAGAGAGACAGAAACATCAATGATGAGAATCACTGATCGGCTGCCTCCTCCACGCCCCCTACTGGGGATCGGGCCCGCAACCCAGGCATGTGCCCTTGGCCAGAATCGAACCTGGGACCCTTCAGTCTGCAGGCCAATGCTCTATCCACTGAGCCAAACCTGCTAGGGCTGAATGTGCATTTTAAAAGAGCTTGAGGAATAGATACCAGTGTACCATTTTCTAGGCAGGTGGAATTGTGGGTGTTTCTCTTCTTGGGGCTTATCTATATTTTCTAGTATTTCAGTAATGACTTTAAATTGCTTTAAAGTAAGAAATTTAAAAATTGATTTTTAAAGAGGAGATGAAAAGGACAGAGTGTTGTCCATTTCTGTCACCTAGCTTGGGACAGTGTGCAGTAGAGGGAGAATGGATGACCTGAGAATCAGAGAGGCTGGGTTGACATCCTGTCTCTGCTTCTGATCATTTGGGCAACCTGGAATATGAGGCTTCTTAACAGACATCGGTTCCTTCACCTCTAAATGGGGGCAGTGGTGCCTGTCACACAGTGGTATGCAATATATAAGCGGTGGGTAAGAACACAGGCTCTGGTCCAGCTCTAGCCACGTACTAACCTTTTCACTTCGAACAGATTACTTAAGTTTTAGTTTCCTCATCCCTAAAATAAAGATGATGATAATAACACTACCTCTTAGTCCTGTTGTAAGTATTATTGAATAAAGTTCCTGGCCCAGTCCCTGGCACCCAGCAAGCCCCTATAAGCATTAGCCATGTGAAATGTGCCTGACAAGCATTAGTAGGGGCTTTATTCATGTAATTCCCATCATTTCTTTCCCTTTCCCTCTTCCACAAAACAAGAAGCAGTAGGCAGGGTACTAATGGAAAGGGGCAAGGGACATGGACAAACAGGAGGGGAGACAAAGGGGAGCAAGGAAAGAAGAAAGGACAAGGGCTCTTTATTCTGGGAGATCTTTGGTCTCTTCTGCAATAGAGTCCCTGCTTCCTCATCACCTTCCCCAACACACACAACCCTAGTCCTGGGAGCAGATGCAGAGAGACCAGTCTTTGGGGGCAACCCCTCACGAAGCCCCTGTGTCCCCTGCTGGCATCTTCACACTTTGCTCCCCCAGCAGGGACTTCTGAAGGGTGGATCCCTAGTCCCTTATTTCCCCCCAGCCCAGGCAGGACTGCACACAAGGACCCATTTTTCCATTAGCTGAGTCCTGGGTGGAGGGTACTAGAATTTAGAGTCTTCTTCCTGGCAAAGCCGATGACCACATCATCACTTCCATCACTTCCTGAGAGGACTGGGGAACAGCAGTTGGTTTTAGAGGGGTTCTGCCATCCTCAGTTGTAAGGACGCCCAGGAAGTCCTGGGCCACTTCCTTACTTAAACTTCTTGCCTCCTCTGCTCATAACTGGGTCTAAGGAGGGGATGGATATTTAGTTGTACATTTTCACGTGGCCAGAGGTGGGTCTCCCAGAATCCCCAGTCCCCAATGTGAGTGGGTGAGTGGCAGGCTGGGGAGGGAAGCTGCTTTTGCCACTCTTAAGTGTGAGACACAAAAGAGTAGGCTCTACCAGCTCAGAGGAACTTTGGTGTCTGTGTAGGAAGGCCCAGGGCACACCTGGGTCCTTTCCTTCCTGAATCCTTTCTGCCTGCCTTTCCTTGGTGTGAATGACACTCTGGCCGAAAATCAGAGTTCCCAGAGCCAGGGGGTTGGTCCTGAAAGTTGGGAGGGATTTGCAGTTGTTTAGTGGGCGGCACTGACTGCCCTGAGATAACTGGGGTGGGGGAGACCTCATGGGCACTCACTCTCCTCCCAAGAGAGAACCGGTCATGGAGTGAAAAGGTAGGACTACTCCCTAAATTCTAAGGGTCGCCCCACCATTTCCTTCCATTATCTAGAAAGCCTCGGACCCCTTCTCTTCCCTCCCCTCAGCCAAGGCCATGATTATGGGGAGTCTCAACTCTGTGGAAAGGATTCTTGTGTATTTTTAAGCCAAGGAGTGTGAGGAGTGTGTGGGTAAAAGGGAGGAGGGGGTTCACGAAAGGCCGGGGCTTGGGCAATGGGTTAGGAAAACCAGAGGAGATGGAAGAACAGAGAGAGAAAACCACGTATGAATGGGGGCGGGGAGGATGCAACAGCTGGACGGAGAAGGTGAATGCCATAGCTGGAGGGGATGAGGGGCTTCACCGTGGACGGGGAAGGAGACCATTGCCGGGGCCTCCAGGAACAGGTGCTTGCTGCCTACACCCCTCAGGTGCAGCCTGCTAAGCGTGTGTGTGTCTGGGGGGAGGTTGTAGGGGTCCACGGGCGCACCAGGCCTTGTCCATCCTTCCTCTCCTCTCTCAAGGGCCAAAACTCCTCCTCCTCTTTGAGGAAGAGTGGGAGGAGAGGTGGATGGTCTCTTGCCCGCTGTCCTTAAGTCGGTTCCCCAACCATACCCCCACCCCTACCCCATACAAGCTTGGAGGCTCATCTCCAAGCTGGGCCGCAGCGTCCCTCCGCTCCGTTCCTCTCCTTCCCATCCCCACAGGCGTCGGGTCCAGGTCTACAGCTCCTCCATTCCCAGAACCTC